GCCCAGAGGAGTCATGTCACCTCTCAGGCATGTTCCTCCCCCTTGTCTAGAGCAGTTATTGCCAAAGAAATCTTCCACGGATAGAAAAGGTTCTTTGCTCCTAATATGTTGCATAGTACGCCAGCTGTGTGGCTACTGAGCATTAACAGGTGCCCAGTGCAGTTAAATCCCCCATTTATTTAGTGTAACCACGCAACAGTGAATTCTGGGTCTTGTGGTAAGAATGAAATGATTAGATGTATTTTACACTGAGTTAACTCTGAATACCAAATAGAACAGCAAAAGAAGACTACCAGGAAGGTCTTGAGGCACTCACCAGCCAGCCAAATACAATGTAAACATCTGCAAAACCTCCTGCTTTGCACAGACCTTCCAAGCCTTCCTGGGTAACACCTGCCCATGCAGCTGTGGAATTTGAACAGATGATATCCAGAAATGCTTGTGTGTTCAGGAAGTGAGAAGAGGCAGGGTGCGAAGACAGAGAAAACCTCACCCCCTCCCTTGCTCTATCAGTGTCTGTTTAGTTTGTGCTTTTCATGACTCATTAAAACAAATTGGTATGGGACAGAGGGATTGAGAGAAACTGTCACACAACACAGTGTCCCAACAATCTAGCAGAACGTCAGCAGGGAGCTTCAGGTATTAAGAAGTAATTGCAGTTCATGTTTTATGACTTCCAACAGCAACAGGAATGAGGCATTGTTTAGATACAAACACCAATTCACCTTTATCAAGAGTAACAAATAGACTCTTAGCCTGGAACAAGGCATGCTGATTGCCCCTCATTTCTTCTAATGCAGTTGCCTAAAATTAAATTATAGAATCCTACTGTTTATCACATACAAACAGATTCTGTGATTACAACTAAATCCTAAAATAACTGTGTTCTAGTTCCCAGTCTTTGCATATAAATTGAAACCTTATTATGTGTAGAGAAACCACTTATCTTAATGTCAAGTGAAAATCAGAGTGAATGACCACTCAGAAGGTTCCATCATTGTCTGTGAAATGGTAGCTCATCAATTACAGCATTAACCACACAGTCATTTATAAAGTGCGTGTTAAAAAAAGAAACCTGCAATCTATGGATGGAGTTGTCACCCCTCTCTCAGTGAAAGCACGTTTTCCTTGTGGGTTGCACACACCGTGAAACCTGACAGTTAGTTAAACTTGGCTGGCTTTATGCTGTCAACCAACCCCTTTAGGAAACTGAAGCCCCCCCCCCCCAATCATTTATGTGCCCTCCTCTTCACTGGCCATTTAGCATTTCATTTTTGTCCCTCACAGATCATTTTTGGTGACTTCTTTTGGGTTTGATTTAAGGTCTAATTTTGCTGAATGAATGAAAACAGTTTGGCTGTTAAACTTTCCACCCATGCACACCCACATGTGGTTTTATGATATTCTAACTACCAAAGGGTTCCATTCAAATTGCATAGCTATTTTTATTCCACAAAATAGTTTTATAGAGCTCATTGTGGGGAAAATATTTCTATTTACTCCAATAATAACAATTTAAAATACCGTTTTACTGTCTCTATTACTCAGCCATAGTCTTTGGTATATAAATTATCCTCAAGCTCTTTGGTCTGGCTACATTCTTGTAACTGAATTAACATTAGTCTGAGATACTTGCTGCAATAATTACTTTTAATAATTTCTGGGATATTTTTAAATTTATGAACCCATTTAAAATTATAATTGTGGATACACCCTTTTAATATAGATGTGTCCACATGTGGTGTCTTGGTTTGAGAATTAAAGAAATTCCCTGTGCATGTAAAAGCCCATAGACAGGTTGGACATCTCTATAGCGATTTTTACTTTGAAAAGTCAAGCGAATATTTGTGAAATGAATAATAAGGAGTAAAAGTCCATGGGAGGGGCTGAACTACTTATATTCTAGATGTTTCTCTCTTGATTCCCCCATTTTTATCATCAATCTTCTCCTACCACCCTTGGCCTCTTATGTATCATGCAGAGAGAAATGTAGTATATGTTATGGAATTACTGCTTAGTTATTACTGCTAAGGTTCTTGGGATAAAATATATAGGATATATTCCTACACAGACTCACATACTACTTTACATATATATATATATATATATATATATATCATATTAGATGCACATACATGTTCAAATATACATATATTTGTATGATCTACAATAAGGACATATAGTGTTACAGTAAGTGATGGTTTCTCAATGGCTATCACTCAAAAGATCCTAGTGCGTGTGAGCCATGTTGGAATCCCCTCCTCTGCAAGCTGTCCCCTCCCACCAGTCTTAAAAGTTTGTTTAGTTGTCCTTAAACCATATTTCATTTATTTTAGCAGCAGGTGCACCCTACCCACTGCAATATTACTGTACACTGAGATCAAATATAAATGGAACAGCTTCATAGAGGAGATGGTAGGTGAAGGTGAAGGGCTAGTGCCTGTCCACAACCTCGGCCTCTGGTTTAGTGTCTTCCTCCATTGCTCTATTCACAGTAGCCCTGAGGTATAAGGGGCATTTTTAACACCATTTACCAATTGAGTACTCATGCAAATTTTATGCATTGAGGATAAAACATAGAAAGCAGGTTTGGTTGTTTTTCATGTAGATTCTTGAGACTCATTCTGTGTTCAATTATTTGTCTTCACTCTTCACAGCCATGTTTTGTTTTTAAATCTCATTTCTCTGTATTATTCAGTGGCTTGTGTTTTCACATGGGGCAGGGATGCTGTTAGTTTGTGTGTGGAAGGTTCAGGGGACCATGACAACTTTCCGGGAACGACACACCCACTGCCAGGGAAAACATGTGTTTTGAAATAGTTAGATAAGGTGATACAAAAGCAGACACACAGACAATAGATTCTTCCTAAAGTTATTGCTGTGATCTATCACAGTTATTCATTGAGTAGGAAGAATGTCACACTTGGCACATGGGATGGACAGAACTACGGAGCATGCGCTACCTGTGTAGCAAGCCTGAGCCATCATCTATCACTTTGCAGATGTTTGTATGTGTGAGGAACCTGTGCTTGTTAATATTTTTATATCCAGCTGTTCTTCTCAACCTCCTCTATTTACCTTGGTTTGCTAAAGGACGAGGTGGAGTGGGAGACAGGCTAGAAGAGTGCATAAAATGAAGAATGCTAGGGAGGGAAGTGCAGCGAGAATATGCGATTGCTCTTGGCAGGGGAGAGCATTCTCTGGGAAGAAGTAGTGTGTTATTGGAGACACAGAGTCATGACTGAAAGGCAGGTTTGAATGTTTTATTTTTATGAAAATTTCTTGGTAATTTTTTACATGAATACAACATATTTAGATCTTATCCACAACCCTTGCATCCAACTTCCCCTGAACCCCATAATTCCTTTCCATTTCATGTCTTCCACATTTTCTTTTTTATTTCTTTTAAATTGTATCATTGCCCACTGCTTCCAGCTAGTGCTGCCCACACACTCACAGATGTGGTGACACACACTGGAGCATAAGCAGTCTCAAAGGGGCCAGAGCCTGGAGAAGCAGCCAGTTGTCAACAGTTTCTCAGCTAGAGCCTGGGGCTCAGGGGCTACTCTCTGGCTCTGGGGAACATTGGCTGGCTGGATCTGGTGCAGGTCTTGTGTAGGCATCCACAAAGGCTGCAAGTTCATGCATAGCCACTTGGACTCATCCCACATGAAGTTCAGCAACACTGTTATGTGCCCTCCTTTCCTTCATCATCGAAACCTTTAGTTAGTGTTTCTGATGATGACTTAGAGCCATCATAAATCACATTTATTAGTATACATAAAAATACTAAGTACTACTATTCATATAGAGCTGTGTGTTTATAGCAAAGGCTGGAACTAATCAGGATGATGTACCACACAGTTCTCTATCTCAGACCCAACCTTGGTTCTTCTAGGCGTGGCTTTTTGGAGCCTTCTGGAGTCACTTGCTTGTTTTGTCATTCTTCTGTAATCAATTTGAACATCCTATGATTTGAGGTCAGAGAACGCAACTCTTCCATATTTCAACCTTCTCTCCACTCTCTGCACATCCCATTTTATCATAAGCTTTTTACTCTCATTTTCTACTGTTAATTACTTCTTCGGTGAATATTGTGTCATGAAAGAATCTCTGGGAAAGCTGAGAATGAGATTAATGTTAGCAAAGACTGTAAAGACCTCAGATGAAAGGTGGAGTGTACCTCATCACATTCCCATTGAAACAAAGCAAAGACAACAGCAAAGACCAGCAAACAAGGCATATCTGTATACACCATCAATTATTCTTGCACTTAGCATTCCTACATAGTAAAGATTCTACATCTTCTGAATTTATTAGCTTGGTATTTAGCATGTTTCATGGCCAAAATAGCAAAGACAGTTCATTATTGCTGGTTAAATTAACATCATGTAAATGTGGCCAGCAAAAGGTCATGGAAATAAGGAGCCATCCAACTAAGCAATGTATCCAACCATTCATCACTTTCACTTTTAAAAGGCAATCTGATTATTTAAATTAACTTGGCTAAAGGCTAGAATTTGGATAAAAGTTAATAATTTAAACCTAAATGGCAGGATTAGGTCTTCCTTTGGATAAAGCTGGGATAACATATATGCATGCAGAGTATTGAAATTGTCCTTGAGAGAAGTGAATGCCAAGGAAACTGTACTAGGGTCTACAATCTGTGGGATTTCATCAAAAAAGTTCACTTTTTTGATATTTGTATTGTCTAAACTTCTTGCACATTTATTTTATTTATTTAATTTTTATTTCAAGCTGGTAAACTCAGAGTTTCCTAAGAAGGCCATTGAAACAATTTATTATTCATTTGATAGCCCTAATTAATAGTTCTGATTGTTGAAACAAAGGACAAAAAATATGTTCTATCGTTTTGTATTTTTTTTTATATTTACAAATCGTGTTTGTTTAAAAATCACATATGTGACTAACCAAAACATAAAGATAACTGTAGATAAATATTCTGAGAAATAAATGATCCTGTTTTGTATTCTTAACAGAAACCAGGAGTTAAAAGACCTTGGTGACCTGTCCCCACACTGGGACAACCTACGGAAAAATGTCCTTACTCACTGTGATCAAATGGTGACTATGTACCAAGATATCCTGACAGAACTCAGCAAGGAAACAGGTAAGAGGCAGTGACGTCACTTCCCCAGACCGAATTACGTTTACTGATGCCCTGTGGAAACAAGGATGAGAAGTGCTGCTGTGGAGATAAGGGAGCCAAAAATTAAACTCTTTGTAGCTCTCTTATCTTGGCATCAAAAGCAAGGAAGAGTAAACTATGGTACTCTGCGTTATGGTATTACTATAGTAACATAATAATGAAGGAAAGAATTTTAAATTAATATTTGTGGGGAAAGTGAAGGAATTAACGTTTTCCTTTCTAAAGTTCTTGTAACATCATCATTTTTGCCAAACGTATCTTTGAACACAGACATGTTTCATATTTGTTTATGTGTCTGTTTATTCATTTGCTGATCATTTCCAATCTTCATCCTTCTAGGGTCCTCTTTCAAATCCAGCAGCAGCAAAGGAGAGAAAAGCTTAGAATTTGTTCCAATAAATCTACACTTGCAGCGGATGCAGGTGCACAGCCCCCACCTCAAAGGTATCTGATACCCCAGGAGAGTCAAGTTGTGTCACGGGGTGTGCTTGTTTACAGAGCTTGACCATGGCAGAGCCCCTAATTAAGAGTTAGCTTAGCAGGAGGACGAAACAACCACAGCTGATGCTGGCCCTCAGAGACGAAACAAAACAACACCGTTGCTGCTTTTCCTGGGATCGTTGTAGATGTGGTGCCTGCCTTGAGTTAGAGATGAAAACTCAGAGTACTGGCTCTCTAGATAGCGTTCCCAATGGCCGAAGGGTGATCATCTTGTGACTGCTTTAAGTGGAAAAAAGAAAAGTCGGAAATGAACTCTCTACTGTTATCTTTGGTAGAGGCCTAAACTCCAGAATGAAGCAGTGCCCTGCTTATCTGCTTTGGTAACTATTAACAGCAACACTCCCTTTCCTGTGAGAACAAGTGAGCTGGTGAAATTAAGTCAACAGCAAGTAGTAGAATATAGAAACGTGGGGGTTCTCAGAGCACAGCTGAGCTGGATCTCAAGTGACTGATGCAATACATTTATTATTGTTCTCTAAAATCCTTACTGTTTCTTCTATTATTATTGTTACACCCATTTAAGGTGTTTATATATGGGTGTGGTATGTATAGTATGGGTGTATATGTGTGCATGCACTACCATAGCACCTATGTGGAGGTCAACCTGCAGGAATCACGTCTCTCTTCTACCAGACGTCAAACTCAGGTCATTGGGATTGGTGACAAGTGCTTTTAAACAGTGGGATATTTCCTAGCCCCCCTTGTCATTTGAAAATAAAATATTTTAAATGTTCCTCCTATGTCCCTTTAACTTATTTATCTATCAGTTTTATTTTATGCTTTGTTTTTGTTTTTAATTTTTTTCTTTGAGACAAGTTTATATGTAGACCAGGCTGGCCTCAAATTTACTATATAAATGACGTTTCTGATCCTTATGCCTCCACCTCCTGATTGTGGGATTACAGTGTGTGCCCACACCTTTCACCTTATTATGTCTTGGGGATATGATGGCAGGATTAAGGCCTTCAAGAATTCTTCCTCGATTGCTCTCTGTCAGTAATTTCAACATTAATGATACGAAATAGTTTTAAAGCCACCAGACACTAAAGTGTAAGATCTTATATTGAAGAACTATCACCATGTATTTTTCCTAATAGCTAATGTGAAGTGATGTTTATGGCGCAGTAAAAGTCTATGTCTTGCAGCAGCAGATCTGAGTGTGAATTAGAGCTGTACTAACTTTTACATATAGCCTGGGTCCTTCATTTAATCCTTTAAGTCAATATGGCTCTTAGTATTGTTTACGATTAGGTGAGATGGACTATGTAAGACATCTGGAGCAACATAGGAATAGCAGTTTATCATGTTGTTGTCCTTTGATATCATGAAGTCAAAATGTATCCATGTATGTCATCAAGACCATTAAAATTAGAGAAAACTCAAACTTTAATCAAAGACAAATTTGTCTTGAAGTAGGAAGTGGCCATTAGGGAATAAGTGAACTAGAGAACCATTTGTAACTGTTTTTTTTACATGTAAGTACTTAATGGCAGGCACAGTAAAGTGGGAAGGAGAGAGTAATTTTGACTCTTACCACGGGCAAATGATAGTGTCTTCGTCTTTACCCACATATACCATATAGAGCCAAATGGGTACAGATTTGGGTTCAGGTTGAGTTAAGCATTATAATATTTAGTAATGATTTCATATATAATTTTATTATAAGGCTATATTATCAACTGCTTTTATACTCCATATCGCTTATAAAAATTTGTATACTATGACATGTTCTAAAATATTATCTGAAATATAAACTATAGTGGAGTAGGATGTATGTACTATTTTTAGCCTCTGATTCTCTGAAAGCAACTGGGGACTAAAAGGCAGGAATTTATAAAATCAAACAAACCTCATCCATTTAATTTGGTTCGGCATGGATATTGGCCTCCAATGACTACCATAATGAAATACCTGAAACAACCAGAAATCCAAGTGTCAGCCAGGCCACATACCATGTGAACCTGAGGGGAAGCCTTCCTTTATTATCAGGTGGTTTCTGATCTTTCTTGCCGTTTTTTATTGATATGAATATACACCTTGCTAATCCTGCAGGCTTATATGTTGCCTGCATTTCTCCTCTATAACATTGTCTCTCTCCCTCTCCCTTACTTCTCTCTCACTCACTAGCTTTCTGTTCAAATTTCTTCTATAAGAACACTGGTCATATTAGGCCAGGGCATAGCCCAGGGATCTGTAATTAACTTGAGTGTATTGCAAAGACTCTGTTCTAAAGAGTGGTTTGATCGTGGGCAGATCCTTCCAAAGCAAGGCTAATGTCTAGCTCTTGAATCGGGTGACTGAGCAGCACCAATGTTGTGATGTCTCTTACTGACAAATGAGATAACCTGCCGTTAACTGCAGGTTCCCTCAGACTACTAATTTTTCATCTTTATTGATGACCTAAGTGTAACAAATATCCCCAATAGAGATGAGGTGATGATAACAGAAACAGAATCTCCAGAATGAAAATTATAAGTGCATACTCCGGAATACGTCAGTGTATTTTACTTTTACAGTCTATCACTTACAAAGATTATAAATACATATTCTTATAATAGTATAATAATCTGTTGTAATTCCTTTATATGTTAGATATAATAAAGTACTATATTGGGGGTATAAAATGTAATGAATTCAAATGAAAGCAATTGTTTTTCTTTAAAGAAATAAAACCTTAGTGTTAGATTAAGTTACACTTAATCCTGTAATTGAGCAGCAACATTTTGGCAGGTCTATTTGAAATGTATATCATTGAATTCTTTTATGTAACTGCACTATTAATACATTACTAATTTTGGATACCAGAACTCTATAAATCTTAGATATATGACCAGAATTTTACAATTTTACTCTAGTCCTTTAGGTGGAACTTGTTAAAGGGCCATGATTCCAGAGTCAGTGCTACAGAAACAGGAAGGGAAGGAGCAGGGAGAGACAGAAAGAAAGACCCTAGAGTGAACACTTGACCCAACTTGACTCAATGAAGCTATCTCATGAGTTCAATTTTTAGTTTCCTGAGGCAATCCTGTCCATGAGTTTAACTCTAACTGCACTCTAGTGAAGAAACCATTGGTTGTCTTTTCAATGTTTCTTAGTAACTGTTCTATTGCTGTGAAGAAATACCATGACCAAGGCAACTTATAAAAGGAAGCATTACTTGGGGGCTTGCATAGGTTTAGGGGCTTAGTCCATGATCATCATCGCAGGAAGCATCTAAGCAGACATGAAAGAATAGAGCTGGAGTGGGAGCTAAAAGCCTATATTTTATCTGCAAGATAAAGGTAGAGAGAGAAAGCAAGACTGGACCTGGTGTGGACTTTTGAACCTTAAAGCCCATCCCCCACATATACAGCTCCAACAAGGCCATACCATCTAACCCTTCCTAAACATTCCACCAACTGGGAATCAAACCTTCAAATATATGAACAAAGGGGGGATTCTCATTCAAATCCATATCATGCAAAGGAGAATCAGAGATATACCACTAAAGCTAACCAGAAAATGGGAGCCTTTTAGTTGCTAATTGAGTCCATAGGGGAGGGACCAGCTCTGGGTTTGTATAAAATAAAATAAAACTTGCAAGCATACTGTATGCACATGCACATTCATTGATTTTCCTTCTTAACTATTTCAAGTGGTTGCTATTGAAAGTACCTTAAATAATGTCTATCTAAAAATATAAAAAACAAAAATATTAATATCATGAGAGTGAACTTAGAATCAGATTCAACACCAATTAGATTTTTCAATGTAACTGAGAGTGTTAGTTCCACGAGGAAGAAACAAATAAGAGGGCCTCTTAGAGTTTCCTCAACCCTGTATCTCAAGAGGCAGGATGCATCATCTCCTCAGTATGGATAATCTTTCTCAGATTAGTTCAGTGATGATCCCAAATTGTTTGAGCTATTTAGAAACACAAACTTACCAACGTCTGCTGATTCATGTCAAATGGATTTGTGTGCCATTTTGAAGTCAGGGATTAGGTTTAAATTGTTCCTTGATATGAGATCATCATGCATAGATTTTTCTATTAACACATTTTTATAGCTGAAGAGATTTTAATGAGATCTCCAGTAAAAACAGAGCTATTTCATTTCTATTATTAAATGCCATTTAAAAGCTACAAGAAAGCTCTATTATGAATTCTCAAGTAAATCTGGTCTTTGTAACTTGATGAAGCTCACCCACTGAAATTCTGCTTCCCTTTGGCATGGGACTTATTGCTGTTTCCACAAAACCAAGCATGTTCTTGAGATACATGTAATGTCAATGAAGGAAGGCACATTGTAGACGAATTTCTAAATGGTTGTATTAAATAAAAAACACGGAGCTAAATATAGGGGTGAAAGCTTTAGAGAGATCAGGGAAATAGGGAGAGCCACCAGCCAACCTTACCTCACCAATGGCCAACCTTACCTCACCAACTCTGCAGCTTCCAAATTCGAGCTACTTCCTGTCTACCCATGCCTTTTTATGTCTTGCTGTTCTGCCCTCTCGTTGGCTCTTAGCCCAGCTACCTCACTTCCTTGTCACTGTCTGTCTATATAGACCTCCAGGTCTCTATGGTTGGTACTGGGGTTAAAGGCATGTGTCACCACACTTGTCTCTGTTCCCTAGTGTGGCCTTAAACACACAGAAACCCTGCCTGCTAAGTGATCAGATTAAGGGTGTGTGCTGCCTGACTTTGTTTACTTAAAATGGCTGGCCTTTTCCCCCTGATCTCCAGGCAAGTTTTATTTATCAAAGAACAAATAAAATATCACCACATTTCCCCTTTTTTGCCTAATAAAAATAAAAAAATTAAAATAATTATAACTCATATAAGAAAAACTATATACAATAAGAACAATAACTATATACAATATGTACAAGCAATAAATACATCAACAATGTCTAGTCCATTTTCATTGACCAATTCAGAGAAAATATTCCATTATCTATCC